CACATGTTGCCCTTAACGGCACCGGTCGCCAGCCTATGTCCCCGCCCTGGCATCCTCCGCCGCCGTCGCCCAACAGTACGCCGATGCCGAGCTCGACGACCCGCCCTACGACGACGCTGAATTCTACTCGGACGACGACGTGGATCACTACGAACACACCTATACCACCACCCCCACCACCACAAACGGCAGCTACCAACCGGGCTACAACCACGCGCCAATGCCAACCACTAGCACGAAGAAGTCGCGCAAAAAGAAGCGCGTGCCCTCGGCCCCCTCTCCCCTCACCTACCCCCAACACGCTGCACCGCGCCACAGCCCTGCGCCCAACCACACCGTCATGCGCTCTAGCTCCAAAAAAGACCGCATATGGAACACGTCGACCCAGGAGGAGCGCGAGCGCATACGCGAGTTCTGGCTGTCTCTCGGCGAAGACGAGCGCAAGTCGCTGGTCAAGATTGAAAAGGAGGCCGTCTTGCGCAAGATGAAGGAGCAGCAGAAGCATTCGTGCAGCTGCACCGTGTGTGGGAGGAAGCGCACCGCCATCGAGGAGGAGCTGGAGGTGCTCTATGATGCATATTACGAGGAACTCGAGCAGTACGCACATCACCAACAAGACGTCGCTACTTTCTTGCCACAGGCTAATTATGGCTATGCGTCCAGTGCTCCCCATCCACGCCCGCTAATGAACACCCACCCACCCCCAGCGCACTACGAAGACGACGAAGACGAGGACGAGTACTCTGACAACGAGGAGGAGGAAGACTATTCCAACAGCGACATCTCGTCAGAAGGCGACTACAGCTCGGAAGAACGCAGTCTACCGCCGCCCGAGGCATCCGACTTTCTCCAGTTTGGTAGTAGTCTGCAAGTCAAAGGTAGGTAGGCTTGATCGACCGTTGGGCTGAGAGCATGCTGATTCAACCAACTTTAGGTGGCATCTTGACCGTGGCAGACGACCTGCTGAAGAATGACGGCAAGAAATTCATAGAGATGATGGAGCAGCTTGCCGAGCGTAGGATGCAAAGGGAAGAAGAGGCTTCGTATCAGGCCCATCCGAGCATGTACCGTGCACACAGTGGTCACAATCACGAAGCTCCACCGCCGCCAGACGAAGAGGACTTTGACGACGAGGGAGACGAGGAGGAGGGCTACGAGGACGACGACTATGAAGAGGATGACGAGGATGAGGATGTGCGTATCGTTTACAGCGACCCACGTCCGGCACTAATCAGGAGTAGGACGCGATGACCGAGGAGCAGCGGATGGAGGAAGGGAGGCGTATGTTTCAAATCTTTGCCGCCCGCATGTTCGAACAACGCGTACTCCAGGCCTATCGAGAGAAAGTCGCTGCGGAGAGGCAGCAACGGCTGCTCGAAGAATTGGCCGAGGAGGATATTCGAAAGGATCAGAAGGAAGCAAAGAAGGCCAAGGAAGCGCAGAAACGGAAAGAGAAGAAGGACAAGCAAAAGCAGCAGAAGGCTGAAGAGAAGGCACGCAAAGACGCTGAACTCGCCGCAAAGGAGGCCGAGCTGAAGGCGGCCGAAGAGAAGCGGCTGGAGGAGCAACGTCGGAAGCGCGAAGAACAGCGGAAGAAGAAGGAGGCGGAGCGAAAGGCCCAAGAAGAGGAGAAGCAGCGGAAAGAAGCAGAGCGCCTGAAGCGTCAACAAGAGGAACGCGATCGACAGCAGGAGGCCGAGCGGAAAGCACGCGAGCAAAAGGCGCAGGAGAAGAAGCTCAAGGAGGAGGCCAAGCGCAAGGAGCGAGAAGAGCGAGAATCAAAGGAGAAGGAAGCTCGCGAAAAGAAGGCTCACGAGGAAAACATGCGCAAGGATCCAGACGCCAAAGCGAAAGCGGACAGAGAGCGAATTCGAAAGGAAGAACAGGCGGCCGCTGCAGCCGCTCACAACGCAGTCGCTGGGAGGAAAGCATCGCAGCCGATTGCAGTCGCTTTACCTCCGCCTCAACTCCTCAAGCAGAATTCATCTACGGGTATGCCATCGCCCCACGTCACGCCTGCAGTTCCCAAGGCACCAACACCCAGCAAGCCACGCCAAACTTCCCAGCACGACTCACACGGTTCGTCTCCCAAGACTCCGCAGGTAGCTTCAGGGACAAGCAAGTCCACTTCTCCTGGTTCCCAGACACACAATCCGATCATGCCCAGGTCCATATTGACGAAACCGCAAGCCGTGCCACCGCAGGCGCCATCGCACCATAATCAACCGACATCGCCGCTGCCTCCCATGGGACTACCACCAGGCATGCAAGGTCCACCTGGTCTGGGCATGGGTGGCATGCCTCCTGGACTCAACGGCTTTCCTGGCCAGGGTCCAATGATGCCCGGCATGATGGGTCAACGGCAGAGCATGCCATTCTTCCCGCAGCCTGGGGTTCAGAATTTTCGGGGTTTTCCACCGCCAGGGATGCATGCGCCCGGCACGATGCCCATGGGCCGTGGATATTCCATGGATGGACCTCCAGGATTCTCGGCCCCACCGGGATTCCCAGTTCCTGGACAGATGCCTTCAGCTTTCGGGATGAACATGCCAAGTCACTCTCGACAGCGCTCGGGGTCCTTTGAAAGGCTGGCCAACCTCGACAGCCCACTGGCTGCACCTCAGGCACAGCCTATCCAACGGCCGGCGCCGATCCAGCGGCCTTCTAGTGTCAAGCCTCATGACGCCCATGGCTCCGATGTGGACGATCTGGCGAATCATCTAGGCAGCAAGGCTCTCTTGGACGATGAAGAGGACATACCTGAGCCCATGGACCGTCGTGCGAGTGTACAACAGCACGGTAGTCTCCGTGGCGCTTCACCCCTAGCACCCTTTGGCTTTGCAAATCTATCTGGCTCGCAATACGGTTCATTTGGAGGTCCCAACAGTGGAAACATCTGGGGCACGCCACCTTTGCAATCCTTTGGAGCCGCTCATGCATGGGCCAACTCGCCAACGTCAAACCTCTTTAGTAACCCGTTTCCACCGGCCCATCCTCGTGGCCCCAATGAGCCACGTCTGGTCTGGCTTCGTCGCATCGTGTGCTCGGCCTGCAAAAACATTTCGACCCGTGCTCCCACCCAGGACGGCTACGTGGAGGCTGGTGAAGTTCAGCAATACATTGACGGGCTGAAGAACCCGATGGAGCCTGCAGTGTCATTGGAAGAGATCAAAGAAGCCTGCGACATCATTGACACGACTTCGACCAACGGCGGAGGCACACTTGAATACAAGGAGGTGGGAGGTCGTCTGTCTTACATCAAATTCGTCGACTCACAAGCCCCTCCGCCCTCACTCGGCGAGATCGGTAGTCCCATCCCTAGCCACAGCGTGTTGGCTGGCGGATTTGGAGCGCGCTTCCCCGGCCTCGGACCGCAAGGGTTTTGAGAGAGTTAATACCCACCACCAAGGTATTCCCCACGCACCTCTTCCTCTGCTTACTCGGCCTTTTTTCCACCTCTTTCTCTCTCTCACTCTAGTGTCCACCTGCCTCTGAAACGGTGTGGCAGCAAGATCCGACCAGTTCCTCTCTTGGTACATTAACTTGTACCGAAGTCTAGATCTAGACTCTTCAGGTAGCCTGGGGATGATGGTGTCTTCTACTTCGCCCTTTTTTGCTTGGGCCAAATACATTTCACTGTTTTTAGTGACTTGGGTTTTATTTGTGCATACTGAGGGTGACAGAGATAGAGGGCTGATTTCTCTCTCTCTCTCTCTCTCTCGCTCTCTCTCGCTCTCTCCCTCTTTCTCTCTCTGATTTGCAATATGCTAGTCTGACGTGATATTTCTGTTGTATGACTTGGGATAATTCCCTCCCCCCCCCCCCCCCCCCCCCTGCGGCCACCCTGTCTCACACAGCTTCGGCCAACTATCTGTGTCTGTTGGGCAATGTGCATGCAGATGCAGTGTTCGGAGCGATATTCATATATACACTTGCCCCACTAGTACCTCCTGCATACCTTACCGGTACCGCGTACCTACCCACCCCACCACGTAACACGACGACTCCTTGTCCCCAACACACCAAAAATGCAGTACGCAGTGCTGAACCGTGCAGACGAATTGTTTTCCCCGTCGTGCTGATGCAGGAGTTTGCAGGTTTGGGTTGGGCGCGGGTATGAGGCGTGAGGATGGGATGGTGTGGGGATGTTGGAGGGGGGAGGGGCTACTGTGCCGTTGTGTTGTTGGTGGTGGCGTGGTGGGGTCCGGTAGTCGCCTCCCTCTTGCTAAGGCTGGGACGATGCCATGTTGACTAGCTTGCCTAGCTACCTATGTAGCTAGCTAACCTGACATCTGCATGCACGTTGCGTTTTCCCCCGCCATCATCGCCTTTCATTAACTGCATGGTACCTTTTTTTCATAGCTTGTTGACCGCTGTGAAGTTTTTTTCTATTCTTTGATTTGGACGCTGGTGTTCTTTCGCGGGTTGTTCAATTTACCCGGCCCAACCGCATCAAGGAACGACGCTTGAGGAGGGAGTGCTCGAGATTAAACGTGGAAAGATGTCGTCGGATCCTATTCTCGATGCTGCGGCGAAACATGCTCCGCCGGAGGGACAGGTGTATATGTATGGGACTGCTGGGGTGAGTGCGAGATTGCGTTGGTTGTGATGGGTGAATGAGGGGATGAGTGCTAACTGGCTGTTTTGTAGTTTCGGATGAAAGCGTAAGATTTGGATCTCCGTCACTCTCTCTTGACTATATACACACTCAATCACACCATGGCCACGAGGCTAACAACATCAGTGATGTCCTGGACTCTGTTCTGACCCGTGTTGGTCTCATCGCCGCTCTCCGCTCGCGGGCGCTGAAAGGGAAATGGATTGGCGTGATGATTACAGCGTCGCACAATCCTCCTCAGGATAACGGTGTGAAGCTGGTGGAGCCATTGGTGAGCAAGATCTCAAGACAACGATATTGTGAACCTTACTGATACTGCTGCAGGGCAACATGCTACAGGTGCGCTTCCGCAAGTACGCGAGATTGGGGACAATTCACCGTCTAATCATACAATAGGAAGACTGGGAAGTCATCAGCACCGAAATGGCAAACCAGAAGACCCCCGAAGACGTGTCGAAATTCTACCACGAAATCGCCGCGACGCACAAGATCGACCTCAGCGCACCCGCACGCGTCGTCGTAGCGCGAGACACAAGAGCATCTGGATCGAGGCTACTTGGTTGTCTTCTCGATGGCCTCAAGTCTGCCAACGCAGAACACAAGGACTACGGCTTCTTGACCACCCCACAACTCCACTATATGGTTCGATGCTTGAACACCGAGGGCACAAAGGATGCATACGGTGTGCCCACCGAAAAGGGCTACTACGAGAAGTTTGGTGCAGCCTTCAAAACTGCACTCAAGGGCAAGAAACCTGCCGGAAGCTTGACGGTCGACTGTGCCAACGGTGTTGGTGGACCAAAGCTGACTGAGCTCATCAAGTACCTTCCACCCAAAGAGGAAGGTCTGGAGATTCACGTCATCAACGACAATGTAATCAAGCCGGAAAGCTTGAATGTCGACGTAAGCCCTCCTGGATTATCATGACCCGTCATGGTGCTGACTCGCTCCAGTGCGGCGCAGACTTTGTCAAAACTAACCAGCGCGCCCCTCCCTCGTCCAAAGTCGGTCCAGGCGATCGCTGTTGCTCCCTTGATGGCGATGCAGACCGCGTAGTCTATTACTTCAAGGACGAAAAGAATGTCTTCCGCCTGCTCGATGGAGATCGCATCGCTACGCTCGTTGCCTCTTTCCTCGGCGACCTCGTCCGCTCGAGCGGTCTTGCATCGTCCCTCAAGATTGGCGTAGTACAGACTGCCTACGCCAACGGTGCAGCCACAAAGTACGTCGAAGAAACGCTAAAACTGAAAGTAGACTGCACTCCTACGGGTGTCAAGTACCTGCACCACGCTGCCGAGAAGCTGGACATTGGGGTGTACTTTGAAGCCAACGGCCATGGCACTGTCATCTTCTCACATGATACCCTCTCCACGATCGCTCAACACGAGCCCCGTAACCCGGGTGAAGCAGAAGCTCTTGATGTGCTCCGTGCATGCATCAACCTGATCAACCAATCCGTTGGGGACGCACTATCTGATTTCCTCCTCGTCGAAGTTGTTCTAGCACACAAGCACTGGGGTCCACAGGAATGGCTAAACACATACACGGACCTACCCAACCGCCTCGCCAAAGTCATTGTCAAAGACCGTACCGTGTTCAAAACCACGGATGCAGAGCGTAAACTCACGTCGCCCGAAGGCGTCCAAGCGCAGATTGACAAGGAAGTGTCCAAGGTACGTCAAGGACGCAGTTTTGCGCGCGCCAGTGGCACAGAAGATGCGGTCCGCGTCTATGCCGAAGCTGCGACCAAGGCCGAAGCAGAGGACTTGGCGCGCAAGGTGAGCGATATCGTCAAGGCTGCTGGCGGGGCTTAAGAACCTTTTGCCATGAAGCCTCTGGTACCCCTATCGTACGACAGCAAATTAGAAGGGGTCACAATGAGTGCGCAGGAACTGGCGGTACAGG